CGAATAGATCATTATCACGTTAACAGACTAGATGGAATAGAAAATTATATTCAGGCAGCAATAATGATGATTTAAAATAAATTTTATCGTATTGTAATACTGTATTCTACGACAATTCTAATAAAGAATAGAATGTATTTCCCTATTTAACAATTTCGTAATTAAATTATATTCTTTAATTATATCAAATGTCCATACAGTTTTAAATAATAGTAGACATTATATAATTCATCAAATTTAGTGTAGTCTATACAAATCTCTATTTATTTCGTATTTTTTTCAATTATAACAATAATTAAACTGTATTTTAAATTTAATTATCAGTTGTCTGCGGATTTTATTGTCAAACTTATTTCTTTTTAGTTGATTATTAAATTAAATGCTCATGTATGACTTTTATACTTTTATACGAGCCATAATATCTGAAACAAATTTCTACATACGTTGTATTAAATGCATTTTTGAATTATATACCGATAAACCAAAATATTCGTCGCAATGTCCAAAACGAATGGTCTACTTTCGTGTTGTATCGTTTTCAATTTCCAATTGAAGAACAACCGTCGCCTAGTGAAGTGTTCGCTACTCTTTCTCGTCCTATCCGATGCCGAAATAGAAGAAAAAAAACCTTCGCCAAGCCTAACGATCTGCAACACATGCCGCGATGGCTTCGTCGTGGACGTCAGCTGGCTCGACCAAGAAAATGCAAAATTATCGCCTCCGCCAGGATGCTTCTATGGCAAATAGCCTGCCGCCTCGACTTCTTATATTCCACGGTTTAATGTGCACGGCAATTAAGACGGAAGATAAGATTATCGTGCGGCACGGGATGGACGCGTTAAAAATGGTATAGCCGGCGAGATATTAGCGTGAACTGGGTCAACGGTAAATCGCGCAGATGAGACCAACCCCCCGGAAAACGAAGGGACGGATCGTGCGTCAACGCCGGCCACACCGTCGTTGAAAACGTCGAGCGTTTTCCTCTTCGTTCGCTCGTACCTTCTCGACGGGTGAGTGCCAAGCCAAGGATGAGCGAATAATTCAATTTCGGCGAAAAACACGGATCTCTTTTCTTTCTTTTCTCTCGCCGTGTGCTACGAGACAAGTTCTTCTTTCTCTATTTTTTTCTTTTTTTTTATTTTTTGAAGTAGCTTCGAAATAGCGGGAGGTTACGAAAGCGAAATATCATCATGGCAGATCCGTCGTATTTATAAATCGCCGTACGAAGCGAATAACGACGACGTTAACAAATTTTAGTATTAACGAGATCATTAATAGCGAGGACGACGCAAACGAGCTTCCTCGAAGGAGGTTGGAAGATTTCTCTTTCCTCCCGAGGCGAGCGCCCAGTATTCCTCGAAATGCTTATCTCGCGGCGCTCGTCGCGTGAAAAATTCATTTTTCCTACGCGAAACGTCGAGACGTCGAGCGAGAAAATCGCTTCTCGATCGATCGTCGCAACGACGATCAGCCGCGCGTTCCTTCCACGGCGAGCTGCTTCGCCTCAGGAGGCAAATCTCCGGTTATTTTTGAGCCTCCGTCGAACGAACAACAACGTTCGAACGACGATCGAAGAAGAAACGAATCAATGGGACACAGAATTCTCAAGCGAGATCTCGCCGCAAGACAATTGCAACATTTGTTTATGATCGACTAACACTCGGGTTAATAAACTTTTATTCGAAGCTTTTTTAATTCCTGTTTAGATCAAATCACAGTTTTTCGAACTGTGTTTTAGTGTTTCGCGATGCTCGGTGTATAATATGTACAAAGAAGGTGGAAAGGAAAGTTTGTCCGTGGCGAATTTTACAATTCGAATTTCGATTTGATGGTAATACATGTAAAGTATCTGCCACAAAGTTGATCTTGATCTTCAATTTCAAGATCAAAAATTTGTTCTTTTTACATTGTGTTCTACTCATCACGAAGCTAAAACAGTTTCTTGGAAAAGTTTTAAATACTTCGTGATAAGTAGAGCACAGTACACAAAAAGAAAAAAAATTTCGTCCTTGAAATATATAGAAGTTCCCTCTCCTAATTTCTTTTCAATTAAATCTAAATAGGCATAATAATTTTTACTTCATCTACTTTTATTGCTTTGCTTGGCATTTGTTCGCAGTTACATCAAGGAAGCGCTATCTATCGTGCCAAACTATCCGACACGATTTTTCTAAATAGCTCGTCGCACTAAAACGGTTAATGGGCTAAGATATCCTTTTTTTAGACGTTATATTTATAAGACTGGGACAATTTTTTCAATGAACGTGTGAAAAGCGGTACTGCTTGCTCCTTGCTTCGCGAACCCTTCGATTCTGCGCCCACGGCGAAATCGTCGGACTAGAAATTGAAATCATGCAAATGCCAGGAAAATAAATGAAAAAGAAAAAAAAAAGAGAAAAAGCCCTCTGCTCGTCTACCTGATCCTCCGTAAATTGAAAAAAGCCACGCGATCAACTTAAACTTCTCGGGTTAGGTTCATCTTCCTGAGACCGGTGTACGACCGGTGAGATTGCACTGTCTGCTTGCTCTGGTCAATCAGGGGAACTCGTTTCGTCCGATGATTTTCCCTCCCCGTCCCCTTTTTCTCGGCCGCTTCGTCGGAACTCGAGCCGAACGGAGGAGAACGTCGTCTAATACGAAGAAACACGAGAAGATCGAAAATTCCAGACTCGATAGCTGAGCCACCGAGCAGAGAGCAAAAGAACAGGGAGAAAAGCAAAGCAGGATGAATAAGTTTCGGTTTGTGAAACAGGAGTCTCGTTTCCTCGTCCTTTCTCTCGGTCTCTCTTTCTCTCTCTCTCGTCGCTTTCTCCACGCCTGGTTTTTCCTCCGGACTATGGGCTCTCTCGTCGGCGCACAAACGTAGACATGGCAACCGTAAATCAACCCTCGAAATTGTTTTCGAGTGGCGGGCATCCTCCCCCTCCGTCGAACGCTTCGGCAAACTCCGCGTCTAGAAATTCAAGTAACGAGCGGTGGTGGCTACGTGGACACACCACGACCAGTCCTCGATAATTTTCCTCCGCCGCGTCGCGTCTGTCGGTGTACTTTCATACGATTGTTTGAACAGATTTGTGCCATTCACAGGCCACAGTGATTAAACCCCATTTTTTCCAACGTTTTCCGATTTCAGTGCGAAAGAACCGCTTGATTGGACTTTCTCGTTTCTTCAAAACAAATCCCTTTAATAATTAAGTTTAAACCACAGAAATTATTTCGTAAAGAATATGTAACTATACAACTATACACTAGTACAATTCAAAAGCGTTGCGGTTCATCTGACTCGTCGTATAGTCTTCAGGTAGTATCCTTATTTTTTTTAGGGATTTCACTGTTCCTAGGAAATCCGAGGAACCCCTTGTGTCTGTTTATACTTTTCCTTTAATGTGGATTTTATTGTACTACCGACTTTCTTTGCGAATCAATTCCAGAAATTAATTCCAAATACGCTGTCTTGTATTTTAGTTCATTTATTTCATCCAGTACTTCGTTGCTGAATATATGAGAATTTTTACTTTGATGAAGGAAACGACACTGTTTTTTGATATCTCTAATACATTTTACATGTGACGTGAGATAGAAGCCAATAAATTTCGGACAAAAACACGTGATAAGAATGTAGAAAAATGTATGTTGCAAGTTTTCTTCTATAATTTTCGCAACAACAAAAGTATTCTTACTTTCCTATTTGATGTAAAACATCTCTGAAAAAAAACGAATTTA